AGCTGCTTTGGAAAACAATTTGGCAGTTCCTAAAATTTTAAACATAGGTACCATATAACTCAGCAATTCCACCCCTAGGTATAACCCTAAGAGAAGTGAAAACATAAACTTATGTCCATACAAAAACTTGTACACAAGTGCTCACAGCAGTATTATTTATAATAGCCAAAAAAGTAGAAACAACCCAAATATCCATTAACTAATGAATGGTTGAACAAAATGTGCTATTTCCATACAATAGAATATTTGGCCATAATAAGAAATGAATTACATGCTACATGCTAATGATACATGCAAATGATACATGTTACAATATGAATGCACCTTAAAAACATTGTGGTAAGTGAAAGAAGCCAGTCACAAAAAAACATATATTGTATGTTCCCATTTATATGAAATGTCCAGAACAGGCAAATTCAGAGACACAAAGCAGATTAGCGGTTGCCTAGAATTAAGGGTATTGCGGGGGAAATGGAGAGTGGCTGCTAATTGGTATAGAGCATTCTTTTTGGGGTGATGAAAATGTTCTCAAGTTTAGATAGTGGTGATGGCAGCACAATTATGTGAATATACTAAAACCACAAAATTGTAAAACTGTAAACTTTAAAAGGTGAATTTTATGGTATAATAATTATATCTCAATAAAGCTGTTATTAAATATCTAATCTTCACATGGCGTCCAAGATGTTTCAGGGTCTAGCCTCTGCCTACTTCTCCAGTATCAAAATACCTTCCCTCCACCTGGACCCCACCTATTCCAGCGCTCCTTCTCCACGAACCTGTGGAATTACCCACCTTGTCTGACACTTGCACCTACAAAAGCTTCCTTTGCCACATTTCCACTTTGTCTTGTATTTACCTCCATTAAACTCCGGATCACCTAGTATTGTAACTTTTGTTTTCATGCCTGCCCACTTCCATTAGACTAGGAGCTCCCGTGAATGTCCCTTCATCTTCATAAGCCTAGTGCCCAGCAGTCAGCCAGGCACTAAAATACAAACACAAACCCTTTGACTCTGAGAGATCAGCATTCTTTCCATTGCACCGAGGACAGGATGGCTTAACAGACTGGAACGGGAACTTTGAAAACAGACCAATCTGAGTTCGAAAGCCAGTGCCATTACTCCTCAGCCTGTGGACTTCCAAATGGTACAGCTTCCATTTCCTAACCTGTAAATGTGGGTAGTTGCACCTAAATGCCAGGTTGTTTGAAGGCTTAGACCTCATGTCTGTAAAGCAGCTGGCACATAGAAGGGGCTCATAGATGCCAGCTGCCACTACTGTTACTTCAACATTATTCTCAACTACAGTAGTTAATGGATCTCACTGAATTGGAACAGCAAACTACAGTTGTACCAATTACTAATTTNGGACGAAATTACAAGGGAATCAAAGGCACAGCCAAAGAAAACTAAAGGTGTGCGCATCAGAGCTGCTACTATCTTTAAAATGTGAGGGACATCATTATCAATCTATGTAAAGGTCTTACGTCATGTTTCTAGATTGTGTTTAGGCTTTATCACTGATTAACAATGTAGGAAACCAGCACAGGGAGAGAAGCAAATAATTTTCTTGAGAGGCTTAAGAAGCTTAACCTGCAGTCTATGCTACTTAAATTAAGCTGACTAAAACAACACACAATTTCATGTCACATCTCGCCTGTTTCTGGGTAAGCAAGTAAACACTAGCAAAAACGAACTAGAGCATTTAGTTAAGCAATCAGCTTTTGTTAACCTTTTTACCATAAAGTGGTTGCCTCTATCAAAAATATTGGTAATTCATAATAAAAGTCTCAAATGAACTATAGTAACCATCGGCAATCATTTAACAATAATGCACACGAAATTCAAAGACAGCATCTTTTTACAAAATGCAAAGCCATCTGTAGTTTCAGCCGCGGTTTACCCATTCACCACACATATACAGGCGTCTTTTAAAAAATAATAATAAGCAACAAACTTTATTCTGGCCTAAGAGACTGCATCTCTCCTTTATTACTCTATATCCTAGAAGTCAATAACGCTGAAGTCAAATTGTAACATTTCCCAACTTTGGTTTAATGCGCGCGATGGACACCGGGCATCCGCCCACTGACTCGGGCTACTTTGACGCACCGGGATGCGGCTCACCTGACATCCCGCACCAAGCAGTATCAAGAAGGAAAACCAACTCCGCGAAAATAAAATGGGTCCCCGAGAAAGCGTGCGGGTGCCCGTAAGGGCTCTCCTCCGCCGGCACCCCGAAAGCCAGGGGGCCACGCTGCCCCCGGCCCTCGGCGGCGTCCGCACCTGCCAGAAGAGGCCGCGGCCGGGTTTCGGCGCGGAGAAGGGACGGCCCGGCTCCGGCCCCTCGGGGTGCCCCCCCTCCCCGGCCCTGCGGCGGGGGCAGGAACCCGGAGCCGGAGGTTTCCGCCCGGCGCCGCCAAGCCCGCCAGGGGCCTAGCTCGGGGGCCGCCCGGACTCCGCAGGACCCGTCCACGTTGTCGGCGACGCGCAGCCGCCTCCCATCCCGGCCCCGCGGAGCCTCCCCGCGGCGGGCGCCACGGCGTCCGCACCTGCCCGGCGCCCTGCCGCAGCTCGGGCGAGCGGCTTCACCCACCTGGCGCCTCCGCCGCGCCTCCCGCACGTCACGGCGCGACCCCGCGCCCCTCGGCTCCAGCAGCGCTGGTGCAGGCGGACGCCGGGAGACCCTGCTCGGCCGCCGCCGCTGCCGGGTTCGTCGCCAGGCCGCCGACAGCGAACCTGTTGCGCAGCCTGTCACGGCCGCTCCGGCTTCGCAGCGCCGCCTCAGCCCCACAACAACATGGCGGCCGCAGCCTCCGCAGGAAGCCGGGGGGCGGGGAGGTAGGAGACGGGCCGGGCAGCTGACGGCCCGCCCGTCCGCTGCCGGGCACCGACTTCCCCACTCGTGCGGACCCGAAATGGGCGCGGGCGCGGCTCCCAGAGCACCGGGACCCCGGACCCCGCTGGCCTGGTCCAAGTGCTCCGCTGTCCCCTCGGGGAGGCCTCGAAGCTCCGGACCAGCAGCCTGTCATGGAGCTGCGAAGACCCACCCGGCTCCTCCTCCCCGAGGTGACATGTTGAGGTTGGGTGGTGCGTTTCCTGCCACAGCGGACCCCGCGGTTTCGGAAAGGGCCAAGCAAGCCTCAGGCACATCCCTGATGCGCTGCACCTGGGGCGCTCTGTGGAGCCTCCTCACGCACGGAGGTGTCTTCGCTGATCTGGGAGCACGGATTCCCCCGGGAGTGGGGTGGGGGACGGTTGTTCCCACCCTTGTTCAGGGGTTTGTCACGGCCTCTCACCCCCACGCCCCCCCCCCAGGACCAGCCATCCCCAATGGTCATCCACCCAGCGTTCCTCACCCCGCTCCGTAACACACAAAAAAGGCCACCATGNAAAGTAGTAGTTTCTTTTGCAGATATAGAACATTTCTTCCTTTAGGCTGTGTTTGGTGTTTTGTTGTTTTTTCTTCCCCAAATTAAGAGGACTAAAAAGGCAGATTCTTTATTGGGAGATAAGATTATGGGTCAGCTCTTCTACTCTATTTTCCAGGCTTCTTATGTAGATTGTTTTGAAGATAAGATTAAAAATTAAGGACAAAAAAGCTCATTTCTTTTCCAGTCACTAGGTGAAAAAAAAAGAAAAAAGGACTAAAAAGGACTAAGCCAGTTTAATTTGAAATTTCTCATTGAAGAAAGTTGGAATAATAATAGGTAACATTTTTAAGCACTTATACTAAGCAGTAGTCGCTTTGCACTACTGCTTATGTATTATATGCACTTTATATTACATACAACAACACTATGAAATAAGACTATTATTATCAATCCCATTTTACAGATGAGGAAACAGAAACCTATAGAATTAAAGTAAGTTTCTCAACATCATACAACTATTTGGTGTTGGAGCTGGAAGCAGGAGGTTTAACTTGAAAGCCTGTACCCTTATCTACCACAGTAATGATGGAAATAAACAAAATTTTTATTAAAACACATATAATTTTCCAAAAACAATATGTATTAGTGAAGAAAATGATCTAGAAAACATAAAACAGTTGCTTAAATGAAACAAGTTAATTGTCTACCATCTGATAATATATTCCTGAATATCTACCATAACCACTGCTAAATAGCTCTACAAGTAAATAAATCATTCAGTGTCCTGTTATATCCATGAAATTATTTTTTAAGTGAATCTCTCAAAATAATACTATACATTTGCAAATGAAATATGCTGCCCTCTGAGAGTTGTAAAAATACATTATTTCTTGATATATTCACTGTCCTATTTTTGCTCAGTTTCCTCCTCTCCTCCCCCACTTCCTCTCTGCCTTCAGATCCTTTAGGCCAGTTCAGTTCCTCCTTCTCAAGAATACCTATAGGCACACTCTACCCAACAGGCCTCTAACATTAGTCACTCACTGTGTTCTATAGTTTATAGGATGGTACAAAGTCAAAAATGAACTCAAGTAAAACATACAGCATTTCTGATGCATCTTCATTTCTAGATCCGTTCATTTACATAACTAATTCTAAGCATTTTTCTACTGCACACTTGGAATCCTGCCTTTAACAATTAGCACATCAAAAAAGTCTGCCTTATTTTTAGCCTTTCTTCAAAAATAGTTATTCCACAAATTTTTCCATAAATAAGGTATTGAAAAGATTAGGATACAAAGAAAAGAAAACACAAGCAAATGCAGTTAGATGGTAATAAATATATCACATTTTTGGTAACATAATTAATTCATTCTGAATAATTTCTGGAACTTGTTAATAGGAATACTTTATAAGTAAATATAATATTATAAAGATGCTAGTCACTTATCAATAGACTACTATGTCTCAACTCAACAAACTCATTTACTCAACAAATATTTATTGAATGCCCAAATAACTTTTTTTGTTTTTTCCTGAACCAAGATGAATGTACCAGATAACTGCACAGGTGTGAACTTAGAAGGATCTTAGTTTGAAGCCCAGCTCTTGTATTTACTGACTCAGAGACCTACAGTAGTCANACAAATAGATTATACTGTTAATAAACTGTTCACTCCTTCTTCAAGACCAGCAGTCAGTATACCTCAAAATTAAACTAGGAAATTAAGAGATGCATGTTTCTTATCAAAGCTAGAAGCACAGAAACGTAATAAAGGCTAGAGAGAAAAGGAGTTGGGGTCTAATCAAATGTGTAGACCAGCCAGGGAAAGGTGTGAAAGGGACCTGAAATCTCAGACACAAAAAGGCTTCAGGGTTTGTTTTCTCCTAAGGCTTCCAGTGGGCTTCCCCCGACCAATTCATCAAACTTCCCTGGGCATTTCAGAATCTTACCAAGATTACATCAGGACCCTCCAACTTCCCCCATACAATGGAAAAAGGGGGGAAGTCAGAAGAGAATTTGAGCCCTGTTTCATAAAAGAGATCTAGGAGGAAGGTTCAAATAATCTGACCACTAGAAAAGGTATACTTGGGTGAAAGAAGGGTTGATTTCATCAGGCTTTTCCCAGAGGCAAGGTTAATAATTCTCAAAACGACTCTAAATAAAATTGCTGTTTCCAGAGTGGGAAATTTCCATGTCTGTTTTCACTCAATTTTAGTCCCTGGGCCCCTCCTTTTTTCCCTCCTTCCCCACTGGCCTTCAAAGCCCAGTTCCAATGTTACTTCCTCAGCGTAAGTTTCTCTACTTTACTATGTACTTGGAAGATTTATTCCCTTTCTTATATCACATCACCTTAAGCACCTTTAATTCAAATCAACAAATATTTACCGAGTCATCAAATGTATAACACCTTCTAAGAGCAGGGAATACAGAAGAGGATAAGAGGAAAACTTAGAATTCCACAAGTGATACAGGAATAAAGAACAGAAGGTAGGCACCTAACTTTGCCTTAGTGAACTGGAGAGTTGTTAGTTGAGCAATCCCAGAGGAAATGACTCCTAAACTGAGTAATGAAGAACTAAACAATAGGTACAACCCAGTAGACTAGGAAGAGAGAAAATATTTTTAAGAATTGGGAGCAGAAATGGGCAAATACAGAGAGTTAAAAGCTATTTAAGAATTAAAAAGAAAATGTCAGAGAACTTTGTAAATGAGGCTAATAATAGCATCTACCTCAGAGATGTAAAAACTAAATGAGTGAGAAAGGGGCAGAGACAAATATTTTTCAAAGAAAAAAAATTTTTTTAAGTATAACCTTATTAATACTCAAAGAAAAATTAAAACAAGGGGGTCTTTATCAAATTAGCATATTAAAAAAAAAGCCAGTGTTTCTGACGATGTGGGGAATAGGAGTCGTTTCACTTGGCAGAACACTTTGGTACCAACAAGTTTTTCTAGAAGGCAACTTGGCAGTATGTTTACATGGGCCTTAGGAAATGCCCATACCTTTTGATCTAGTACTGCTCCAACTACTAGAAATGTATTCTAGGTAAATAATCATAGGTGTGAACACAGATATGGCTACAAGAACCAATATGAGATAACGATATGCGTACAGGATGTAGTCAAACTAAGTTCATATCCTATGTCTACCACTTTTTAGCTGTAGGATCTTGGGGAAATTACTAAACCTGCCCTTGCTCAATCTTCTCAACTGTAAAAGAAATAATAGAACAGCTCCTATAGAGAGGCTGAACACTAAATGAGTAAAAATATGTAAAGTGCCTCAAAAGTAACCTGGATATAGTAAATGTTCAATAAATATTATATACTACTTTCAGTAGTACTATAGCAATATAATTTAGCCAATAAAATTATATTGTAGATAGATATATAATAAAATAGAACTGTGTTTTTGATAAATGCTAGCAAGCTAAAAAGCAGGTTACACAGCAGATTATATAATGTAATTCCAATTTTTGCAAAGAGAAATTTCTAGAAGGATATCTACCAAAATATTAACACTGAACATTTCTCTAGGTAATATGATTATTAGTGACTATTATTTTTTTCTTTCATTTCCCTGTAGCTTTCCAATTTTCCACAAGGAACACATATTATCCATCACAATAAAAATGGTATAAAAAGTCTACAGAATTTTTTTAAAACCACAATATAGCACCTTTAGGAAAAATCAAAGTAAGATATCTATTCTACACCATTTGACAAATCTCTGCTTTAGGCTTATATTGTGCCTGAGTTTTGTTTTTTTCTGGCTTAAGTTACTAGAAAATAGAAATATTCAGAGATCTGCTGGGTACAAACCAAATAATAATACTAAAATGATAAACATTTATGTTAAATACAATGACCTGAAATACTATTGTTTACTCATAAAGTGCGCACAATAATCCTTCCCCAATCTGTAATTCCTTAATAATTTTTAATAAGACACATTTACTTCTCTCAATTACCTTCACTCAGCTACCCACACATTCCCT